ACAAGAAAGTTAAGAAAAACAATAGTGCTCCTCACACTATTGTATTAATATTTTTTGCTTTGGCTTTATTGATACAATATCAGAAAGCACTCTGTTTTGCTCTGTTGTTAATCGTGTGACTTAATCGTTGACACTCATGAAGCAATCCAAAGTCTTAAATTTGTCCAGCATTTCCATTACAATTGCTTTACAGTCAGGATCCATGTAGTTATCCAGAAATTTACTGTCGACATCTTTGAGGGCAACCCAAGGTTCTTTTTTCGTTGTTGCCATGTTAATCTAGAAATCTTTATCCTTGATGAGTTTGCGGATATCTGGACCAACAAAGATTACCTTTTTCAACTTAGCTTGGGATAAACCTGGAAACTTTTTCCACGTGTATTGGAAACAATAGCCATCTTTTGGAACAGCCTAGACAAACGGCTTCATTACACCTAATTTTATAATTAGAAGGGGTTACAATACTTTTTTTGGATCAACTAAGCTGTTTCGAATTACATTCTTGGAGCCTGGGTCAAGATTTTGCTTTTTCGGCCATTCTTTCTTGACCCAATGTTGAGTCTTGTCATGGCTGTCCCACTCACAAATGAAACATGTGAACTTTGCAAATCCACCCTGTTGAACAAGAAGCATGGAGATAACTTTCATATCATTGCAAATGGTCCAACTGTGGTAGATATATTTTATTTTGTCCAGGACGAGAGTCAGGTTTTCACTGCATTCTTGTATACATACCGAGTGTCTAACTGGTACAGATGCATACTGGCTCCCAAGATGAAGAACAGCTTTGAGGCTTTTTTTAGATGAATCTATAAACAGCCTCCACTCATCTTTATCGTAGATGACATTAAATTTGCTCATTAATCCAGGAACATCAGAACAATAGACGAAGTTCTCCTCTTCATCAAAGTACTTAATAAATTCCTTTTCACGATTCCTGTACCAATAAAAAGATGTTCCTTTGGCCAAAAAGTCTTTTTCTTTCAGTCTGGAGCCTAACAATCCAACTGTCTCTTTCGAAAGGCCAAGATCTCTAGCCAGATCATTAAGTTCAACGTGAGAGAAGGTCTGAGGTGAACCGGCTACAGA